AGGGGTGCAGAAGCAGCAGGCCCCATTCAGCCAGGACCATCCCCTGATACGACGTGTTCTCAGGAAGTGGGCTGGGGCCTGGCCTGCTCTGCAGTGTAAAGAGAGGAAGGAGGAAGCAGGTCAGCTTGAAGGAGGAACTGGGTGGTTGTTTTCCGGACATGACGATTTCTGGAATGGACAAGAATGGAGGGGGCCTGGGGTCTACAAGGAAAAGCTCCAGAATCTGTAATACAACCAACTAGAAGGATATGCAAAGTTTGAATCTGTCTCCTTCCTCTCTGGAATTTAAATACAATTTCAAAAGTTAAACAGATTGGATAACTATGTTGAAGGAGACTTCCAAAGGAGTACTCACGGGAACTGGGCCATGAATTGTGAGATTCTTAAGAGGTGCAGGCTGGAGTCAGCCACCTCTATCCTTCTCCATCAAACTCAGTAATCCCTTGGTTCTTTTTTGAACTACAATAACCTGCCCCCGTCACCCAAGGACAATATGTTAGACTTAGGGCATCTTCCTCCTCTTTTGATCCACTGATGATGGTAATGAGGACTTGAGCACCACCCTTGGTGCCGAGCTGTTGAGAGACTCCTGGCTTATCCAAGGTCTCTGTAGCCTGTGGGCAGGTTGTGTGATGGTCACACCTTTGCCAAGGGCCCTCAGAGGAAGATACAACCACCGGTGGTGCCTCAACCTTTTCTCCAGGAGGGGAAAGGGCTACTGGAGAGTGTGCCAGCGCTCCTGACAGGCACCACGCTGCTTGTGCTGGGATTTGGGGTGTCCTGGTGTTGGGGGTGCGACTGAGCTGGGAGGAGACTGTCCTGCTGCATGGGAAGTGACTTTTGGATTTGTCTTAGTCTTGCTTGGATTGCCCTTCTGTAAGCAAACCTTAAAAACAGGTTCTAGCTGCCTCAAGGAGTTCAGGGGAGGGTGTGAGCAGATGCTGAGCACCTGATCCAGGTCCTGCTCCCTGTCACCCCAGGAGCCCAGGGAAGTGGGGGCCAAACCGAGAGCAGTCAGCAGCAAGAACACAGCGGCTCTGCGAATACCCAGTAGACATGGGCTGTGGCCTGGGGAGGGGGCCCCGCAACACAGCACTCACAGAACATGTTGATGTTGAGACTCTTGGACCCCAGCTTCCCGGAGCACCAGAAATAGCAACGCATACTCAAATTCTGGGAGACGTTGAAGATCATAAACGATATCCACTGTTGGTGTTTTTGAAGGACAATTGTGTCTAGGCTGGTCTCCAGACCACCCTTGCTAGGGTGGGTACAGCTGGTACTACAGTTAATCACCCCAGACCCTCCGGACTTCACCATCAGCTGCTCTGGTGACACACGTACCTCGAATGCCTCCTCACTACACCCTGGAAGACAAGAAACATTGGGCAGCAGGTGTCCCCACTGCCCTGCCCAGTAGAGCCGCCCATGGCTGCCAGTCTGATCAAGGGAGAGGGGTCCGAGAAGAAAGGCCAGGGATGGCCCCTCTGGTCC